ACTCTCATGAAATCTGAAAGCAGACTGAATTGAAATTCGCTGCGTCGTTTCTGTATACGTATAAGCGCTGCGACGCAGACGCTACTCGCGAGTAGCGTTTTGCCCAGCTATGGTTTAGTAGATCCGTTAACAAATCTATCAGTTAATACAATTTCGTACTTTTGCAATGTCCCTCTTCCGAAAATTTTTTCAGTAGATGATCAATATACAAAATTATTGAAGGAATTTCCTTCCCTTATTTCTGAGCCAGATTACTCAAAACCGGTTAAGCATACAACGGTTCACAGACTTGTCACTGAAGGAAACCTTCCTTTTTCTAAGCCAAGGCGCTTAGATCCTATCAAATTTAAAGTAGCTAAAACTGAATTCGATTTTTTGGTAAAAACAGGGATTTGTAGACCATCAAATTCATCCGTGGCATCTCCACTTCATTTAGTACCAAAGAAAGAAGTTAATGACTGGCGTCCTTGTGGTGATTTTAGAAGACTTAATAATGTGACTGTACCGGATCGTTATCCTTTGCCTCATATTCACGATTTTAATATGAACCTTAGGAATAAAAATATATTTTCAAAGTTAGATTTAGTTAGAGCGTATCACCAAATTCCAATGGCAGAAGAAGACATTTTTAAAACGGCGATTACTACTCCTTTCGGTATGTTTGAGTTCACCCGAATGCCTTTCGGGCTGAGGAACTCAGCGCAAACATTTCAGAGATTCATCAACGAAGTAGTAGGTAAATTAGATTTTGTTTTCGCGTATATTGATGATCTACTGGTTGCAAGTGAGAGTGAAGAACAACATTTAAAGGATATACGGGTACTTTTCGAACGTTTGTCTGAGTATGGTTTGAACGTCAAACCAAGCAAATGCATTTTTGGTGTTCCAAGTATAGATTTTTTAGGACATTGTTTATCTGAGGCAGGGATACAGCCTTCTGTAAACAGAGTAGAAGCGATTCGCAATTTTGAGCGACCGAAGTCAATAAAACAAGCGCAAAAGTTTATTGGTATGGTTAACTGTTACCATAGATATATTTCAAAATTAGCTGAGTTTACTGGAGTTATATATGATTTAATTAATAAAACAAGTAAAAAGCGAGACAAAATTTTGGTTTGGGATGACATATCCATTAAAGCTTTTGAATGCATTAAAGAGAAGTTTGCATCTAAGATTTTGCTAAATCATTTTAGTAAAGATGCAAAATTGTCTTTAACGGTAGATGCATCCAATACAGCAATTGGTGGTGTCATACAGCAGCATTTTAATAATAAGTCTGAACCACTTGCGTTCTTTTCAAAGAAACTCTCTCCAGCAGAAATGAAATATAGTGCTTTTGACAGGGAACTTTTAGCAATTTATTTGAATATTAAACATTTTCGGTATTTATTAGAAGGAAGACAGTTTACGGTTTTTACTGACCACAAACCCTTGATTTTTGTTCTAAATTCCAAAACTGAGCGTAGTCCAAGACAGACAAGGCATCTTGAGTTTATTGCACAGTTTACTAGTGACATACAGTATATTAAAGGACAGACCAACATTGTAGCTGACACGTTATCTCGTGCGTTTGAAATAGATGTGATTAAAAATTCAGAACTTAATTTCAAAATTTTACGGAGTGAACAGCAACAGGACAGTGAACTTAATAAACTTATTTCTGGACAAACGTTTCAAAATCTTAATTTAATTAAAATTCCTATTCTAAGTTTTAATATTTGGTGTGAAGTGTCAGGAGAAAGTCCTAGACCTTTCGTTCCAAATAATTTGCGCAGGACAGTGTTCGATATGTTACATGGAATTGCTCATCCTGGTACCAAAGCTACACGCCGATTAATTGTGAAGAAGTATTATTGGCCTTGTATGAACAAGGAGATAAACATATGGTCAAAAGGATGTATAAGTTGCCAGAAATCTAAAGTTTATCGTCACACAAAATCTCCTGTGAGCACAATTCCAATTCCGAAGAGCAGATTTGAACATATACATTTAGATATTGTTGGACCGCTTCCTGTTTCAAGAGGTTACCGCTCTTTTAACAATTATGGATAGATTTACTCGTTGGCCGGAAGCATATGCTGTAAAGGATATCTCTGCACAGACAGTTGCAAATAAATTTTTTAATGAATATGTTTCGCGTTTCGGTGTGCCTTTAGAAATCTACGACGGATCAGGGTACTCAATTTACGTCCAAATTATTTTCGGAACTTACTAAATTACTTGGTAGTCATCATATCACAACTTCTTCCTATCATCCTAAAGAAATGGTATTGTGTAACGATTCCATAGACAATTGAAAACTTCAATTTTGGCTAGGAATGGAACTAGAGATTGGTACGATGAGCTACCGATTATTCTTCTTGGTTTGCGTTCAGTGTACAAAGAAGATATTGCAGCCACTCCAGCTGAAATGCTTTTTGGCCAAAATTTGCATCTACCTGGAGAACTTGTTGTGCCAACTACAGAAAATGTTACTTCCGCCGAAATTTTAGGAAGTTTACGGGAACGTTTTAAAAACTTTAATTCAAATTTAAAACATCACAAAAATTCCGATTCAGGAATTTATGTTCAAAAAGATTTACAAACTTGCAAATTTGTTTTTATTCGCATTGTTAACAAGCATTCTCTTCAACATCCTTATGAAGGGCCTTACAGAGTTATTGAAAAAGACAAAAAATATTTTAAGGTAGATGTGAATAATGAAATTAAAATTATTTCGATTGACAGACTAAAGCCAGCAATAGTTGAAATAACAGAACCACATAACACTAACAACCATATAGTTTCAACAACGACTAAAAAGAAACCAGTTACTTTCAATTTGTATAATAATAACTCTCTGGAAGGGGGAGTTTGTAGTGTTAATACTATTTACTATTGTACTTTGTTCATTTTTGTACTTTGTTATTTTTGAAATTATTGAATTAAGTTCTTTTTCAATTTATGTAAATCAAAAAGAAAATTNAAAAAATAAGATTTCATGTTTTACATATAGTCTTTTAACTATTACTTTGTACGGTTTTGTACTATTACTTTGTACGGTTTATAATCAGCATCTATGTTTACGATTCAGACGTCTTTTTCTTTTGGCGATAGGCTTTCTTAAAATATCTCGCCTTTTCAAATTTTATGGCTTTTCGGAGAGTGTCCTCCGGCGACAATCCCTTAAAAGGCATCTTTGCAACGGCTCCTGAATGAAATAAAGAAGGCTTAAATTAAATATGAACTTATAGAAAACTACATTTTCCTTACCAGTCAATGTACCATAAAAATTAGGAAAGGACTTTAGGCCAATCTTCCCATGTGAACCATCCACATTTAAAGCTTTTATAACGTCCATATTTAGCAGCAGCCTGATATATTTTATGTTGTTACATAAAATAGCTGAAACCGCAGATTCCTGTAAATTGGAAAAATTAGTATGATATTACGCTATCACAAATATACATCCAACAAACATACATAAACATCTCTGTTGGCAGGAGTTATTTTTTCTTCAAGGTGCTGCATTTCCGGTATATCACATATTGGGAAATACTTGGTTACTGGTGCATTTTGTGCTTCCTGGCGAACCAATTGCTCAGTGGCAACCTTTTGACCAGATATTGCGTCCATGATCGCAGTGTTCTGCGTTTCGACAGTCAATTGTAGCTGTTCGAGTTTTTTGTCTATAGCTTGAAGCTGTTTCTCGAAATTATTGCAGTAGCTGCAGCACACCACTTCAAACACGCCTTGATTGGGTTCTGAAATAACAAATTTTTAAACTCTATGAGCACAATATACTAAAACTAATAACCATCAAATTTTCGTTTTGTATCAGAATGTCGATATTCGACATAGTAATAAATAATTTACCAGTGTTGTATTCCTTAGCCGATGTCGAAACGCTGATCCTACGTGATTCTATAAAAAATTAATTTAAGCATACATATGTAACACAACATTTTTGCATATGTACAATTACAAAAACTCGCACCTATAGTACATTCACTGGATACGCTGAAGCTTGGTCCCGGGTTGTCAGTTTCAATCGCATCTATAATGAATAAGGTATATATTTTTTAAAGATTTATATACTGTATTGTTATTGCTAGCTAATGATTGCTTACATCTTGCCTTTTTCATTGGAGTTGCCGCCGCCGAGCTGTTGGGATTTTGTCCTCCGTATTTTTTGAAGAAATGCTCGAGAAAAAACAATTAATTAATAATAATTTTAATAAATAAATTATAAAAGATTATAAAGTCAATCCAGCGCCATTTCTACCTAACCTCAATTTTTCGCGGTTAATTGTTCTTTCCCTGCTTACTAATCTCCTAATGTGCCGTTTGCTTACCTTACTCATTTTTTCAAATATTCCTTTCTTCTTCTGATGCCCGATTTCCACTTTTTATATAATAGTTTAATTATTTGTTAATTTTTTCCGCTTAGATTTTTCGCCTTTACTTTTATTTGTCTGCTCGACTCAGCTGTTGCAAAGATAGTGGTGGCAAATTGCTGACTACAAACTACTGGTAATAATATTATCGATAGTAGTTTGCATTGTTTGCAACGAAATCGATAACACTGCCCTTTACCAAACAACTGTGTAACTCGGATCAAACTTCACTAAAAAAAACAAATAACTTAATAATTTTTCTACAATAGAAAAATCATAAACATGTTTACTTACCTTATCTGCAGTTTATAATCATCCATATACTTATTAGGCGTTTCCTCTCTTTTCCACAAAAATAATCGATATACTAAGTGTGTTTTAGTATCTTTTACTCAAAAAAAGGAATGGGAAATTTTGTAGTATTCTCATTATGAATGGACATTTCGCACTGACCATAGCCAAAAATTACAGATGTCAGCTGCTCATTTATCAATAAAAATCATTTATCAGTCCATGAAATTCTCGCGCGATTGAACCCAAAACTTTATACCGCAAGTTGCAATATATAAGCAATACTTTCATTATTTTTGCATCTTTATGTTTATGTGTTGTTCTTCAGGAACATATAATTTGACACCGAAATACTACTGTCACTATGGTAGTATTTTAAATACCAGATGTTTGTCCCCGGTATTACGTTTTAAGTTATTTGATTAAATACCGAAAGTTATCGCTTTATACGGCATTTCACACGTTTCGTAATTCGCTCTCCCATTCGTCATTCGCCTTGCCAATTACCTTCCGAATTACGTAATTCGCCATACAAAATTGTGAGAGCGAATTACCTCATTTGTAGGTAATTTAGATCGAATTACCATACGAATGACGAACGAATCGGTACCTTCTATAATATTTATCGGAAATATATCGAAGTTTTCACCGGCTGGTCCCAATTGCTGGCACTTTTTATAGTTATAGAGTTATAGAAATATTAATAAAATATTCGCTATATAAATTAAAATTGTAGATGATAACTTAAATTTAAGCTCCATCTTCGATATTTGCAGTACACAAAAATAATAATAAATGGCGCAGAACAAGAACAAGAACTACAGCTGTCAAACGAATTACTAATGTGTGACGTGGAAACAGGGTAATGCACGAATTACTTAGCGAATTACTTAGGGCCAATTTCAAATTAATATTTAAATGGCATTTAAGTTTAATTGTGGATTGTTGTTTAAATGCCATTTAACTTTCGTTGGGTTTCAGATCAACTTTGTTTAAATATGCCAAACAATTGGCAGCACTGCTGCTTGTTCCTTGCAATTGTTGTTGCATGCGCTTGTTTGTTTACATTTTGTGCTGAACAGCTGATTGTTTTTGGTGGGATTTGGTGGGATTGATTAAACAACCTACCAATCAATCTTGGTTGTGTGGTACAAACACAGGGTTGCATATCTCATATTTAAATAGCCAATATTGGCCATTTAAGTGCAGATTAAATGTATGATCTGAAAATGAGTAATGAAAGTTAATCAACAATCTCTACTTAAATAGGCCATCTGAAATTGGGCCTTAGAGAGCGAATTACGAAGCGTGGAAACATCGAATTAATCAGCGCTATTTCTAACGTTGATTATCGATTACCGAAAGTACAGTATTTTGAGCGTCAATTCCTCTAAAAAAAAATCGTTAACGCTACCTCAAATATAAAGGAGCAGTTAAACGTGGCAATTCAAGCGCTATTTCTACGAAATTTGCAGTCAAAGTGCAAACTCGAAAGTCTACTTTCACGTGTAAACAGCCAGAAAGTACTTTTTCATCGTTGCTGCAAGTGCTGTCAAACAAATCGAGTGTTGCCGTGTGACGGGTTTTTTGGCGAATTTGTATAAAATTATAAAAATGTTGAATGAAATATCAGTATCTGACTTTCCAAGCGCTCAGCGTTGCCGCTGTCTTATTGTGGAATTATCCATACATTTATAAATCATAAGATTAATTTTTTACTATTTCTGCAAAAAAAATTCAATAAAATACACACTTTATGCATAAATTATTAGTTTTAAGTTATTTCGATTATAAGGCACCTTATCAATAACAATTGCATATTTGATCGAAAGTTTTTCTCTAATTAATCGATAATTTAAGTAAGCAGTTGACCATCGCTGCAGAATTTTGAAACCAGAGAGTTTTGACAACTGAAAATTGCGAATGTTTATTTGTTCTGGGTTTCTATTATCATTGAAACTACTAAATAAAGATTGAATTGAATTGAAACCATTGCCAAAATTATCGTCTATAAATTTCTTGTACGCTGTAAAAAGTTTCATTCAATAAATAGTTCCTGATAACTTTGTGAATCCAATTGTTCCTGATTGCCGGCAGATTTTTGTACCCAAAGCCTTTTGGATCCAATTGTCAGATTAATTGCGCTTGGATAACTTGGATAAAAACAATAAAGTAAGTCAGTAACTAATTTCTGGTTAATTTTAAGACTTCATTGGGTGTATTCCAGCAGCAGTAAGATTTGCATGTTTTACAGGAAAAGCGGTTGCCTTGCGCCACGTCCTGTAAATCCTGGAAATATTACTATCGCTTGAAGCGCTAGTTAGTTAATATTGCTGTACATATTTGTATAGTAGGGACATTTTTTCAAATTATATAAATATACGTTGTTTGAATATTGAATTAATACACGTTTGAGAAAGGGTGCGATAGTAGACTCCAGTTATCTATACTAATTATATAAAGAGAAGTCCCTTTTTTTGTAACAGGTAATCTCGCGAACGGCTGGTCCGATTTTCATGAAATTTTGTATACAAATAGCTTTCGGTAACCACCATGTTTTAGGCTAAACAAATNATCGCTTGAAGCGCTAGTTAGTTAATATTGCTGTACATATTTGTATAGTAGGGACATTTTTTCAAATTATATAAATATACGTTGTTTGAATATTGAATTAATACACGTTTGAGAAAGGGTGCGATAGTAGACTCCAGTTATCTATACTAATTATATAAAGAGAAGTCCCTTTTTTTGTAACAGG